ACACACACACACACACTGTCTAACCCCTAAATTGGTCTAAGACTGTAAGACCCCATTATTTAATGTATACATTTTTGGGGGTAAAAAAAAGAAAAAGAAACACTGACACAAATGTCATAATTGTGAGAAATTATATTCATATTTCTAATAGATTCCAATTCTAATTTGTTCAACCACCAAAAATGAGCTATTCTGTATACAGTGTGCTGTGCAACTTACTTGGGTTCTCCATGGGCAGTCGTCTCCCTCATAATCGTACGTGATTTCTTCTCCTTCATTAATGTCTTTCAGCGCAAATAAACACAGGTGTGGCTTTCCATTCACATAAATTTTCTTCATCTTACAATTTGGATGTTGGTGGTCATCGTTAACTAACCGCCCAAACGATCCATCTTCCCTAGATGCATCAATGCTTCAATTTGACAAAAATATGAAAAGGATAAATACATGTGTTTCAATATGTTACACAATATGTTACATATATCATCAATATATCATGCTTAAATATCTACCACCTGAGTATTATTCCACTCGCAAGCTTTCAGCTGAGCTGCGTACATAATCACTGTCCTGAAGAATCTGTACTATATCATTATTGTGATGTATGGATGTAAATGTGGCATTAAAAAGTTTGCTATATGAATTCCATGTCAATAAATTAAACTCGATGTACTACTGAAATTGATTTGTGAGGTCATGCTGTATATGCTATTTTTAGTTTGTGTCACCAAGTGCAGTGTAAAATGCACAAACTAGATAAGTGTCACTCTTAAAAGAAATGCAAGCACGTCGTCCAAAAAGTGGATATAGTCACAAAATCAGAATTGGTCATGAAGACCTGCAGTGTAAATGCGGCCTTATTTACTATAGTACAGCACAAGGAATATAGCTTTGGTGCAATGTGACTTCTTACCACCACGTTTTCCCTCTCCACTTAAACTGGAACAAAAAAACAGCACAGGATGGGTGGTAGAGTTTTCTCCTTCTCTCCATCATTTCACCCCTGTACTCCACAATAAAATCTCCTTTGCAGAAGGAACCTTTTGCAAATAGTCCACGTCCTGCAAATACAGCAAAAACATTTTCACCAAAAAAATTAAAATAAATAAATAAAAAAGTCTTGCAGATGAAGGATGATAATTGCAAACACAGAACACATCAATAGTAGCTTATTTAAAATATTCTGCAACCAGGTTCGTAATTAAAATACCTAGAAGTTTTGCATTACATACTCATAAGGTTATGGTTACATACGATAGTAATTATTAAGTGATAAATCATACCAGACACCACCTTACCTTTCACCGTATTGATGTAGTGCACCTCTAATTTAGTTTGGTCAGACTTTGTGACAACATGATGTATGGCATCCTTAAGAGGGCTGATTCGTGGTGGCATTTCAATCTGAAAAAAAATGTAACAAAAATGTTTTAAAAAATTACACTGTGAATATGGAGAGGTGTTTAATAAGCAGATATGAACGTTATTGTCATGTAACACTGTATTGTATTTTTGTAATGCAACACAACATTACAATGTTATCAATTTATCAATGTGACACAAATCAGAACTGAAGGTGACCTAAATCTGGCACAATGCTAGCATTTAGGGCATCAACTCACTACTTTAATTTAGGCTCTAATCTCACAAAATGAAAATCTGCTCCTATGATTTGGACCTTAACCTGACTACACTTAAGGACGATCTCGGCATACAAACCCTTGTTTATTTTAAAGGGGTCATATGATGCTATTTTAAAGATCATTATTTTGTGTATTTGGTGTAACAGAATATGTTGACATGCTTTAATGTTCAAAAAACACATTCTTTTTCAAATACTGTACATTATTGTAGTTCCTCTATGCCAATAATCCCCACCTTTCCCCCGCAAAAGGCGATTTAAACCCGTGGCCTAACAAGATATATAACTTTTTTTTTTTATATAAAATATAAAATAATTCCCCTCCCCCCTCCAGAACTAACGCGAACTAGACCGAAACAAACTTAATATTAACCGAATCGCTCCATTA